TCCCCAGCACCAGTCAGTGTCTCTCTCCTCTCCCTCCACCCCCCCAGCATCTGCCAGCGTCTCTCTCCAGCGTCGGTCAGTGTGTGTCTCTCCAGCGTCGGTCAGTGTGTCTCTCTCCCCCCAGCGTCTGTCAGCGTCAATGTGAAAAAAAAAACCTTCCAGCTCACACGTGCTCAGGAAGGTGCCAAGTGCACAGGGGGGGCCGCGACCTTAAAAACTGCACTACACTGCAAATTATACATTAAACTGAAATAAAACAATGTAGCTTGGAGCCCAGGCCGCCTGGTCCCCTCACACAAGTACTGGCCATACCACCCTGATGGCCGTCCTGGCCGGGGACTCGGATCGCGACCCCCCCTGTTCTCTTGCGGGACCCCATATGGGGTCGCGACCCACACTTAAAGAAGCACTGATCTAGACTGCCAATTCCTAATGCACTATGTATCCTGCATTAGGACTCTCTTTGTAGATTAGTAAGTAGCCCGGTCATGCAAAAAGAGATATTAGCCAATACTGACGCCTGCCAGACTATGCTGTATGGGGGAGGTGTGTGAAAGGAGTTGCGAATCTTCACTCAATAAATTGTAGCTATATTCACTACAAATACCTAATCAAGTGCAGATGGAAAACCCAGAAATGAGCTTTTTCCATGATTGGATAGTTATTGAATCTTCACTTATTTTATTGCATTAAGATTCTCAACCTTTAGTAAATCAGCCTCCGTCTGTTAATATTAGGGATGCACCGATACTGGTATTTCAGTATCGGGTACGGATCTTTTTGTTTTGTTTTTGGTACTCTCCGATACCAAGTACTGAAACCGGAAGTCCATATTAAGGAAGCTGGGCGGCGTGTAATGATTCGGTGGCGGCGAGTCATTCCACGGCGCCCAGCTTCCTGATTGGCCGGCTCCATGCTCCCTCGTCACCAAGTGATGGCTTCCCGTGTAATGACTCGCTGCCTGGGTTCCCAATACCGGAAGTTCGGGTATTGGGCTAGGCATCGGTGGATTTGTTGGAGTACGAGTACTCGCCCAAATACTTGGTATTGATACCAATACTGTACTATTATCAGTGCATCACTAGTTAATAATATTGTCCTTTTCTATTCATAAAGCTTCAACATCACGTTCCCAGGTCATCATCATCATCGCTGTGTTTTATGTACCTTCCATCCAGATCCATGAAACACAATTGTGTTTATCCTGATATATGACAGTACATCCGTGAGGATCTGGGTAGAAGACCTCTACAGTACAGATATGATGATCTGAGTATGTGACACATGGATGTCTTGTACTCTGATCTTCCTGGCTGTATTGTGTATGTGTCTTATACTCTGATCTCCCTGGCTGTATTGTGTATGTGTCATATACTCTGATCTCCCTGGCTCTATTGTGTATGTGTCTTATACTCTGATCTTCCTGGCTCTATTGTGTATGTGTCTTATACTCTGATCTTCCTGGCTCTATTGTGTATGTGTCTCATGCTCTGATGTTCCTGGCTGTATTGTGTATGTGTCTTATCCTCTGATCTTCCTGGCTGTATTGTGTATGTGTGTCTTATCCTCTGATCTTCCTGGCTGTATTGTGTATGTCTTGTTCTCTGATCTTCCTGGCTGTATTTGGTATATGTCTTCTGATCTTCCTGGCGGTATTCTGTATGTAATTGTCTGTGTGATGAATTGCAGGGATCTGCAAAGACCAGCAGGCCGAGAGCGAAGAAGAAGGTGGTGCAGTCCGAATCGGAGATGTGACCGATGGAGGAGTACGTCAGAGGAACTTGCTCTGCGCTCGTCCTCACTAAAGAAAGCTGAAAACACTGAATTTGACGCTCGCACTGGCCGTGTGTTGCGACGCTCGCCTGCACAGTGTGCGTCCTCTGTAAATATGGGATGTGTGTTGTCCTCTGTCACTGTGTCTGCCGGGATGTGTCCTTGTATACGAGTATATACAGATGAGTCCGTCTAATATTTTTATGTGTAAAATTCCTTTCATGTTTTGCCTGGAAAAGCCATTCTTCTCATTGCTGCCATCTTAATTTATCAGTACTAGTGGGTGTGGTTTATTGAGGCTCCTCCCCCTGCTGTACAGTGCCGTTAGCATATGAGATATGGGAGAAGAATTTTGTGGATGGAGTTAAACGCCTTACCTCTCTATATTTCACTCTTCTGACTCTTCCCATCGCTATCACATTCCCCTTACTATTGTTACCTCCTCCTGGAAGATTCATGTATTCCTTCCAGGCAGCCAGAGGGAAACTGGTCTCTGTAAATTAAATTTGCAGTTAGATTAGAGTCCTTCATGGTTGGCACTGATGGGGAAATTACACTTCCCTTTTTAATGGTTCCTTGTATAATTCTCTATATCAGGGGTAGGCAAACGTTGGCCCTCCTGCTGGGGTGCAACTACAATTCCCATGAGGCATTGCAAGATTGACAGCCACAAGCATGACTCTCAGAGGCAGGTGCATGATGGGATTAGTAGTTTCTGCACAGCTGGAGCACCGAAGTTTCCATACCCCTGTCCTGCATCCTCTCCGTGCTAAATAGAAGGAGCCGCACTTCCGCTTGTTCATTTTGATTTGTGTTCAAAAAACTTTATCGTCACCCTGCTCCCATTCTACTCCCTCAACATGTTTTACCCCAACGGGGGCCCCACATGGGGGCATGTTCATGATTAAAGGGTAACTCCGCTTTCCCTGGTGAATCTGGGAAAATGGAATTACCCCTCTCATTCCTCCTTCCCCACTATACTTCCCTTTCGGCGAACGCTCCTTCCCCTGTGCCGGTAAGGGTGTCATATCCGTACCCCATACTGCCGTGTAGCCCAGCCCTGCACTCTAGATTTTGAATTTCGCTTGAAAATGGCGATCACTCATTGGTCAGCGTCGTCACCTGACCATGCTGATCAATGGGAAGCGCTTCTGACCATGCTGACCAAACAAAGCACTTCTCGTTAAGCAGTCAGGTCAGGTGACCATGCTGACCAATGAAAAGCACTTCTCATTAAGCAGTCAGGTCAGGTGACTGTGCTGTTCAATGAGTGCTCGCCATTTGTGAGCGAAATTCAAAATCCAAAGTGCAGGGCTGCGATACACAGCAGTATGTGGTACAGATAGAACACCTGCACCAACGGAGCATTCGCCGAAAGGTAAGTATGGCGGGGGGGTTTCAAAGCAGAGGGGGGAATTAAATTTTCCCAAATTCACCTGGGAAAGGGGAATCGCCCTTTAAGCTCCTGTTGGGGTGAAACGGATTCAAGTAGAAGCAGGTTCTGGTGGAGAGCGATGGGCTATAATGGGACTTTGTGAATATGCCCATGTGTCAATAAAGCTTTTTGAATGCAAAGAAAAAAAATGGCGGAAGTGCGGCTTCTTCTGTCTTGTACTGGAGTCAGTCAGCACTCCCGGGCCGGTAAGTGTGCCACAAGACTGCCTGGAGCTGGAAGTTTCTTTTGTATATATGTCTGTTGGTTTATCTCTGTGCCTTTGTCTATACTCTATGCACACCTCAGTACTGACCAGCTCATGTAAGGCTGCAGTGCCAACTGTGTATGTATATTGATCATTACTGTATACCAAAGAATTCCATGTACGTCTCCTGCACTCTCTAAGCACATGGCTCTAGTGAGTTGTATGTTTTGCATCATTCTGATGTCTGGGATAGGAGGGGGGATTCTGGCTCCATCATTGAGGATACTTTCCACCTTTGCTGTGTGATTGGTCCCTGGTAGACTTGATGCACCTTCCAGTTCTCAGCGTTGGGCCCTACGTTTCCGAGACCGTCATACGACGCATTATTAATAGCAATGCAGCCAAAGAATTGTAATCCGTCTCTGGGAAACATGCAGTTCATTATGGACTTGTGTGTCGTAAACCTCAATGCATGTGGTCACAAAATCTGCTCCTGGACCGCCCCTTACTTACTCTTAAGGCCCCTTTTAGACTATTGCATTGCAGTAAAGCACACTACATGCACAGCGGTGTCATTAGTTTTTTATTGGCATCGTGATGCACTAAGGCAACGCACAAGCCGCCGTTACAAATTGTGTCACGCTTCTGATTTTCAGGACATTTTGGTGTATTTGCAGCCAATTTATTGTCAATGGGCTGCCCCAATATGACACGTGAGCATGTGACTTGATGCAAGGTAACACAAATTTACATGGGCCCTTACTCTTTTTCTTTAGAGAAGTCTATTCCCCACCACACCAGACCCCCTACCCATGCCAAAATGGTCCGGACTTGTGTGTGTATATATAGCTGATCACATGTCCTGCAAAGGCGGAGAGATGTATGGCTAGTGCAATCTGATTGGATAGTTCTGCTGTCAGAGAATTATTTCCATGTGCAGCTTTATTCTGTGAATAATACAAAGTCACTTTACTGAAATCAGAGCGATAGAAGATGGATTGTGATTAGTCGCTTCGGGTTCATCAGTTTGCACGTCGGTTTTTGCTCCCTGTGCCCCTAGTCTTAAGCAATGCATTCCTACAGGCGTTGTATTCCATACACACGGGTATTGTGTGCTCATTAGCCGTGTTTCCGGATGTTTTTCCATTTGGTCAGATCTCCCAAGCCTGCAATGAGTCGCCGGCACTTATTCAGAGCTTTTTGGCGCAAGATTCCGGTTTAATCCCGAGATCGGCATAAATCGCCCAACGCTGTAGTATGAATCCACCTTCTTGTATCCGGCACATTGAGTGTAAGGCAGGGCAGGGGTGCTAGCTTTGTAAATGGCGTTGTACGTATTGTTCCGGTATGTCCTTTATACCCGGGAGGAAATGATTGGACTCCTGGTGGGGAGTGTTGTGTTAAAATGTGAACACGTCTGGCGGGTCTCATTGGATACGTCTTAAACCGTTGCAAGCATGGCAACATGGGGAATGATTACTACTTATATGGAGTTTGTGTTTGTCCTGCCGTGCCAAATCAGGATTGTCAGAAGGTGGACTTTAAAGGGGAGCTGACCTTTCCTGAGACGCCTTCAGTAACACGTTTGTAGTGCATGCGCCTTTTAGTTTCAGCAAATACTTGTGTTCGTCATTGAATCCGCTGTGCTCAGGAATTCTTTCCAAGTCAAGACTCAAGCCGGCCAGACACTTAATATTTTCTTCGTTCAACCTGTGGGGCGGAGCAAAGAATATATTACCGATTCCTCCATAAGCGCTTAAGAGCGCTGATTGTGGAATCTCCTGCGGTTTGCATTGTATTCTGATGGCAACCGCTGTCGGCATACCCGAACAGAGCTGAAAGCTCATTGGCTGCCATCTCTGTTATTGGAAGCTTTTCCGACCCGCTCCTTCCATCAACTAAGAGCAGCACCCACTGTGCGCATTTCCACCAGTTCATCAGGTCCATTATTCCTCTCCACTCATTCAGATACAAGAGCGTAGTCTGTCCATGGCGTCTCTAGCATTTCACTATGGAATGAGAGGCAGGCTTAGCATTAGGAAGGGACGGGACTTAGTACTGACTTGGAGAGACGTTGGGTTCCTTTGCACCTCCTTGGTCTGGGACCCATGGAGACCCTGAGAATCACTGGATTTCATATATATTGCCTGCACTGCGGACCTTCTACCTCAGTGGCAAGATCTACTTATTCAAGCCCCCCCCCACCTAAAAACACTGCATAAAGGTACCTGTGGGGGAAAGCAGATACTATATTTGCCTTTCATCCACCTTCCTCCCGCAGCACCAGGCGAGGGAGACGTCATCCTCCCTCCGGCAAGATCTTGGAGCTTGTTGAGTAGCCCAAATCTTGTGAGAAGAGATGATCCTCCACGGCGCCACAGCGTCTTCTTGCAGAAGCTCTTCTTGAGCATCAAGATTTGACCAACTCGGCATTCCTTGGGATTTTGTCGGCAGGAGGATGACTGCACCCCCCGCACGACAGAAGTCAGGGGAACCTGGAAGTTATGTGGCCATATAAGGCCAACGATTTCGCCAGCATCCTGCCCTTTGTTTAAATAGGGCGGCCACAGCTGATTGGTCATGCACTGATGCCTAACGTCCGGCTTCAGATGAGCTCGGGTTCAGACCAAACCCGAGCTCATCACTAGTGAGTGTAATATTGAACAGCCCCCTCCCCCCATAGGTATTAAGCATTTTGGGGAGTGGAGCACCTTGAATAAGCTGACCTTACCGGTGAGGTGGGAGGTCCACTTTAAAAACGTTTTAGGACAATATCAAGTGTTGCGGAAGGTCAGGTTTACTTTAGGCTCTACTGGGAAGAGGAGGACTGCCAGCCACAGGGCCTGAGCATTTCCGAGCGACAAGTGAACATCAATCAGTCAATAAGTAACTCAAGTTCATTCTCCCGTTACCGTAAGGAGAACTATGGGGAAAAGCACTGACCCCATAGTTCTCCTTTTAATGTGTTTTTATACATCTATTGCAGCTAGGTTCAGCACACCCTGTCATGTGGCCTGTCGTCACATGATTCTGTGCCATGAGACACAACAAGGGCCCTATAATGTCTCTGCAAACTCAGGGACTGATGTCCACAGAAATTTAAGGTGATCGGCAAGGTGTCCATGAGTGTCCCTTGCAGGGTCGGCACACCGGCCCGGTGCCTTCTGGTTCCATCTGGATGAGAAGCGCAGGTATTCCGCTCTTGCATTACAGACAGTATATGGTTGATAGAGACTTACGTCCAGCATGCCATGGAGCCGGGCAAAGTGTTCTTTTATCTATGGCGCAGTAATCCCCCTTTCGGGAAGAGTCGGTCACATTGACACAGATACTATGCAGCGCGCACAGTCC